GGGTGGGGGGCCTGGCGGGGGTGGGGGGCCTGGCGGGGGTGGGGGGGGGTGGTCAGCGGCTTTCCCTCGCGTGCGGAGGTCGGGTTTCACAGTGCCGACACCCCAGTCGTATCTGTAATAGAAAGCTTCTAAGCTCTCTCTGCAGGGGCGCCTCGTCTCCCAGCGTTCATCTCTTGGGAAAGGTGGCACTCTAAATGTGTCAATGGGAGTCTGAGTCATATACAGTATTCTGAGAAACAGAAGGTAATCGGAAAAGATTCCTGTGCCTAACGCCTATGAGGTAACGCTGGCGTGAAAGACGGCAAAGCATATTTGGCTGCCTATCATTTTGTGTGGGTTAGATGCTGGACACTCCTTTTTAAAAGGTGTTGGTTTCAATTTTTTCAAACTGTGATTTGAGGAGCGTGAGTGCGATTACCGTGTATCACAGTGGATCGCTTGACTTTGTGTGCGACTCTGCATGTCAGTTGCCCAGGGCCGTGAACACGCAGGCGCTGAGCGGTGCTGGGTTCTTGAAGATGATCAATCGGGCCACCGACGCCGTCAGCAAGATGACCATCAAGATGAACGAGTCGGACATTGTGAGTGTGACCTGCCCTGTTTGCTGGCCACATGCGTGTGTGAGTCCAAGGTGCAGTGAGTTATCAGGCTGAATCCCAGATCAGCACTGGTGAATGCCAGTGTGCACCGCGTATTTCATAGTAATGGCCTGTCACTGCCTGCCACTCAGCTGTCCGGCCATTGCTGTTGCAGTGGTTTGAGGAGAAACTCCAGGAGGTGGAGAGCGAGGACCAGCAACTCAGGAAGCTCCACGGCGTGGTGGAATCGCTGGTGAACCACAGGAAGGGTGAGGCTGCTGCCGTTGCTATGGCGATGCCCACGACCCGATGAGCATTGTCCGTATGTCACGTGTCGGCACTTTGTCTTTGTAGTGAATCTGCTGGGGGGGGGGGCGGCATACCAAGTGCCAAGCCAGTGGGCCGGCCCCCCACTGACATGCCGGCTGTTGGAATCATCGCGTGTGGGTCATGGATGGGGGGCCCTTGGCTGGTCCTCGGGTGGAGCCTGTCATGGGAATTAAGCATTTCGACCTTATTGTAGGATATTAAACTGCGTGAAGTGCTGTAACGGAATGGTACTTTATGATCTGAGCACTGACCCCTCTGTATATGTACGTGAGCCTCGGTGTGACCCAGCCCCCATCACTGCCCCCCCACCTCGTGCAGACCTGTCCATCAACACGGCCGTGTTCGCCAAGAGCGTGGCCATGTTGGGCAGCTCGGAGGACAACACGGCGCTGTCCCGGGCTCTGTCTCAGCTGGCCGAGGTGGAGGACAGGATGGAGCAGCTGCACCAGGAACAGGCCTCCAGCGACTTCTTCGTGTTCGCCGAGCTGCTGGCCGACTACATCCGGCTGCTGGGCGGCGTGCGAGTAAGCGCACCGCCTTTGTGTTACCCGCCGTGGTCACAGTCGCTATACGATGCTTAGACACAGCAGCCTGCTAGTATTTTGCGTGCCTGTTTTTACTGAAGTTATAGTGTGAATATGAAAGAGATACGGAAATCAGCTTGGTCTGGGTCACTTTCTGTTGCCATTTTAAGATTCAGAATTCATTATTGGCCTTTTGGGCATCAGAATTCTTACTCACAACATCCAGTCAGTAACATGTAATGTAACAGTACTGGATTTCACAAAGAAGACAAGGGCGTTCACAAAACATCAGAGTACACATGACTAGGTGCTGCGGAGGTATGTGTTTATGGAATAAATACCAAGTAAACAGACAAAATGACAGAGACGCAAGATATGGGTAAATACATTATGAATATATGAAATTAATGTAAGATAAATGAAAGTAATGGCTGGAATATGGCGGAGTAATGTGCAGTGTGTAAAGCCATGGTGAGTATTCTCCAGTAGGCCTGCCCGATATGAGGGGAAATCTGCAATGTCTGATAACATTGTACGATGAATCAAAAAATATTGAAGCATGCGTATTAGCTATATAGCTATATCTTTCTTCTTAGTTGGGTACACTACTAACACTGAGCTAAATATACATTAAAAACCTAAAAAAAACGTATCAGTTATGCTGCCAAGCTAAATATAGACATTTTCTTAATCCTTTTAATGCATTTGTGAACATTTTGCATATACTAATAATCAATAAAACACGTCAAGCTAAATATACATTATTAATCTAATAAAACAACTCAGTAAAAATTCTTATTGAGTTAAATATTCAGTTGATATCAATAAAACATGTTGCTTGTTGCTATCGAGTTCAATATACATGAATGATCTAACGAAACTTGTTAAACCATAATAAATCTGTCAGTTATGCTATCAAGCTAAATGTAAATGGTTCGTGATGATAATACAAGCACCTTTTTGAAAACATTCGTAAACGTGTTTTATTGACGTAAACGTTTGCTGCCGCAGTAAAGGTGAACTTGAAACTTTCAGGGTAACTTGAAACTTACGATCGCATCATCGGCCAGACAGCTGATCAACACATCACAGAAGGATGGAATTTGTACGATGGCAGAGAAGTCGCATGACAGTTCTGATAGGTCAAATATTCGCATGCTGAGTGTGACTGCATGATGCATGTAAATAAAATGATTTTTCTTATTCATCGCATTGCTGGCTGTCTTTTGAAATGCGTTTATTGTACATGTTCATATTGCAATGATGATGAAAAATCAGCATAATTCCTCAGCCCCTGGCTCACAGGTAGCAGTCAGTGAAGCCTGGCTGGCTCTCGTCAACTTAAATTACTAGTTGGGGGCCTTTTTGGTGGTCGAGTCCATCCAGGTTTATAATTAGAATTTAATGATTAGCTGTCATTGTTGATACACCACAGCACACAGTGCACAACAACGAAATGTGTCCTCTGCATTTAACCCATGTGTGACGATGTGACGTAGCAGGGGGCAGCTAATTCAGCGCCGGGGAGCAGTGCTTTGGGACGGTACCTTGCTCAGGGTACCTTAGTGGTGCCTTGCTGGTCGGGGATTCGAACCTGCAATCTTTCAATTACAAGTGCGCTTCCCTAACCATCAAGCCCCCATTTGCCCACGTGTTTGTTAGTGGGGTTAACTCTGTGTTTGAGGTACTTCTGGCTTTTTGATCGTGCGCATTCCTCCAACCCCCCCCCCCCCCCCCCCCCCCCCCCCCCCACCCCCAGGGCTGCTTCGATCAGCGCATGAAGACATGGCAGCGGTGGCAGGACGCGCAAGTCACGCTGCAGAAGAAGCGGGAGAACGAGGCCAGGCTGCTGTGGGCCAACAAGCCGGACAAGCTGCAGCAGGCCAAAGAGGAGATTGCCGAGGTAAGGGGGGGGGGCACACCCCAGGACAGCTCAGCGGCTGTCAGTAGGGGGGGGCGTACCTAAAGGCCTGCTGTTGCTATAAACTTGGTAAAAAAAATTCCACTATCACTTAGCAGCTTTTTGTCCAAAGCAGCTGCCGTAGTTTAAACACGGTTATGTTGAGGTAACCTTGGTGCCGGTCTGCCGTCAGCACTGCCCCCTCTGAACCCGTCCCGTTTTGTTGTCTTTGTGTTCATCTCAGTGGGAGAACAAGGTTACTCAGTACGAGGCTGACTTTGAGCGCATCTCCACCACGGTCCGCAAGGAGGTACTTCGGTTCGAGGTACGCTGCTCCGTCCGGTGCCGGGGGGCGGGCGGTACAGGATGGATGGGAGGGGGGGGAGACCACTCATGAATAAAACTCTTCCGTCTTCAACAGAAGGAGAAGGCCAGGGACTTCAAAAACCAGATTATGAAATACCTGGAGTCTCTGCTACATTCACAGCAGCAGGTAATAGTGCGAGAATGCCCAGTGTCTGTGACCTGGCTGTGACTCTGTACAAGAACAGGATGCTAACCCCCCCCTCCTCCTTTATTTCAGCTTATCAAGTATTGGGAGGCTTTCCTACCCGAGGCCAAGGCGATCGCGTGACGTGCTGGGAAGAGGCAGCCTTTTAATACTTTACCTCTCGCCTATAAACCAAGGAAAGAGCCTACGATGTGCCAGAAAGGGAAAAGAGTACAATCTATTACATTTTTATTCATCATAAACCTATAGCTCTTTATCTTAACAACTATTAATAATTGTATATTTTTCAGTTAACTTCCACATATTTTCTTAATAACAAACTATCTTGCCATTGACTGCTTGTCGGTGAGCTTGGGTGCAGCAGGGTGCAGCTGGTTTCCCACTGGAGCCATTTTTTTCTCTCTTCTTTTTTTGCCTTTTCTTTCCCACTGTGACTGAAATCACTGAAGCTGCTGGCATCAGGTGATTGCACGGGTTCAACACCAGATGGCGCTCTCTGCCAGTTGTTTACAGTGGATATGGGGGAGTTTTTTCTCGCACCTAGCAGGTAGCAATAAGCACCTGTTTTCCCTTAAGTGCAAATATAGTAGTTTGGCTTGGCACATGTTAATTTCTTAGATATTGATTTATTTTCCTTAGTATTCTTGAACTTTGAAAATCTCTGAATCATCCCTTTGATTTGGTAATATGAGATGTTACTTTGCAGTCTCTCTGTCGACAGCTCAGGCTCGATCTAGTATCTTCCCATACGTCATTAACTTAGTCACCACCTCGCGGTGGCTTTTCTATGGAAGTGGCGTGTGATACATCTACCCATAATCCTCTTGGGGCAGAGGGCCGTAATATGCGGAGTTAATGTGTGCAGCTTGCCAACCAGTTGAGACCTGGAGTTACCTGTGGCTGAGGCCTAGACTTCTACGCTCCTGACTGAAGTAACTCATTCAGGACAGCATAAAAACACCTTTGGGGGTCTTCCTGTGTGTGTTAAGTGTCTGTATGTCAAAGGATTACTTTAAATTGGGGGTAAAATACATGCAATCTGGGGATGGGGGCAAGCCATGGTACCGCACACCTGTTTTTGACAGTCACTGCAGGTTTCAGTTTGACATTGGGGCTGAGGTGAGATGGTATAACAGCACTTAATGCCCCGTTTGCAGTCGAGTGCCCCCCACCCCGCTGCAGGCCGGGCATCCCCTCTGTTTTTGAGGAGCCGCTATCGTTAGTGTCCCAGGTGCGTCAGACGGCAGCAGGATGAGCTCAAGGGCAGGTTTTCTCAGCACTTGTGTCCCAAAGCATGTTTCCACCCTGGCCTCTTGTCAGCCTCACTCAAGCCCCTGTTACCCCAGAACCGCCTTTCAGACACAAGACAATCTGTCCCGTTCCTGACGTCGAAGCTGATGACCGTTCAGCGATATGAAGTTAATATACTCACAAGGTAACTGAACATTTTAGCCATATGCCAATATATAAATGTACAGTTCCTTATTTTAAACAGCTAAAGGTCCGTCAGATATATCAAACTCTTTTGTACTGATTTAACTCTATTAACTGACAGAATTCATAGTTTGGGTTTACACTGCAGTCCTGCCTGGGTAAATTTGCACGGTTGGCGACATGCTGACCCTTGCTCCCCCCTCCCTCGGATGGCAAGGTCTCCGTGGGGGTGGGCGATGCGCCGGTGTGGATGCAGTACACGGGTGTTTACTGCAGATGTCATCACCGCTGTTGGGTCAGACGTGAGATAGTCGCTTTAACTGCCAAAAGAAATATGGAAATAAAGCTCGTTTCATAAAAGCACTGTCGTCTTTCTTGAAATAGTACAGAGAGTGTTTCGTTATATTCACTATGTGAGATTTATTGTTTGACTGGGCTGTAAAACATCTGGCATGTCTCTTTTTATCTGTGAAATCAGACATCCTCTTTTTGTTTTGTGTTTCTTTTTAATTTTGCAAAACATTGTGAAAATTTTTTTCTTGCTTGTTCTGATTTTCGCTGCCTCGTACACAGCAATTCACCAGATTGTCTCCAAGTCATTTAAAATATGTCACTTTGAGTCGTTAGCATGTTCAAAGCCGTTGTATACGAAAGAACCTCCCTGGGTGTCAGGGCTTTAATGACAGACATTGCTGTTGGTCTAAGTAGGGTTTTGTATCCTAAACACAAGTTAAACTCATTGTTTTATTGAAAGTGCCCTTCCATCTTCACCTATTTTGAGCAGGGCCCAGGGGGCCCTCGGAGTGATTATGGGGGCCCCTATGCCTCATGCCTCACGCAAATGGATGTTTGTAGTGGTGGTGAAATACCAGTGTATGGGGCTACTAGAAGCAACCCCCTGTCTAAGTGGAAAAGATTAGTGTCAGCCATACAACAGGGCCCCCAGATAATGAACGACCAGACCGGACGGGATGCGTACGTTCTAAACCTGATTACTTGGTTCTGTATATCTCCTCGTGTATGGGGCCCATGTGGAGGGAACTGCATTGTGGCTGCTTCTGCGTCAGGCCCTGGACTCTGCTTTGAGGAACAGAGCGATCCCCGTATGACTGCTGTTCTTTGAACTGTTCCCGGAATCAACGCCTTTTCTGCAACAGCGTCCTGGGGGTGGTGACGGTAGGTTTCCCCAAAGTCACCGTTCTGCGCGTTCAGTGCAGCCCATAAGCACCGATAACAAACTCAAAAACACGGAGACTTGGAGTCGTCTCATTTTCCCAGGTGTGGTTGCTCTTGCTATGGAATCTGGCCCTGAAGGAGAAGGCAGCAAATGACCTGGTGCATGAGAGCTGTCTCCATGACATTAGTGGTATCCTTCTTCAGAGAAGCAGTCGTGTCGGAACAAGGTTCTGGCAGTTGGAAGGTGTGTTGTGTTTCGCAATCCTTACACAACACGGGTTGTACAGTGCAGGAATGTCTGTCAAGGCCTGTATCCAATAAATCCGTCGTTCTCTGGAGATATATACTTCATGTGTCTGGACGGCACAAGTAACCTTCAGCATTGCAGCTTGTTTAGGCATCGTTCTAATTATAATTAATGGACGTAACTAAAATTTTCCCGGCCGCTTAATCAAAAGCTAGGAAGAGGTCTCCATCACATCCATGAAGATCCAACAGAGGCAGGAAATCTGAGCCTCTACGCCTGTGCCGTATGTCCCCTGCGATGTGACTGGCTTATGAGTGATCCAAGTGTCGGCTGATGGTAGAAACTGAGATTAGCTAGAAGCTCTCTATCCTCCCATCTCTTGGAGGAGTCACCAGTGCAGAGGCGTATTTCACCAGTCTGGCATCATATGACCTCCATCCTCAGTTGGTGCGTATGGCAGCAGGCAGGTGGTGCCAGGCTGGTTATTGTTCTGTTCTAGTTCTATGTTCAGTTGCCCACACCTGGTCCTCACAATAGGCTCTCACTGTGAGAGAGTATCGAATGATAATGGGGAGGAGACAAACGCTTGTGGTGAAAAATGTGTTTTTCACATTTGCGTGTTAAAATATGTACACTCCATGTCGTCGTCTTCACATGTCTCTTAATAAATTTTAAGGCTGTTCTAGGAGGTAAGTACTATTGGACGATACTCAGTAGGAAGTAAGTACTATTGGATGATACTCAATAGGATGTAAGAGGCACTTGGGTCTAAGCTCTGTTGGTTCTACTTGATCCAGCAGACTTCCCGCTTTCACAGGCTTTTAATGGAGTCTGAGAGTCAGACCAACTGGGTCAGTGCAGTAGGGGAGTCAAAGGTGGTATCCAGTGTATCTGCTCTAACTCTGCCACTTCTATCCAGAATGGTTCAGTAGTGATGCAGATGTTCTCCATCTTCTCCAATTTTAAATTTGATTCTCTCTGTTCTGATGCTGGTCTGATTTTTATACACAAGCATCCAGTTTGCAGTACGAAACTGGTTCCTCCGCATCTTCTTGCCAGAGGGCCAGTTAAAACACGACCCACTTGCCGGCGCCGATCCGCTGGCTGCCTTCTGAAGGCAGATGCCACCACTCAGGCATTAGACAGTCCAAGCCTGACCTGGCTGAAACCTGCCAGTGAGACCTCTGTGCCCTGATGTGAGCATACAGGTCATGTGACTGTCTGCAACCCCCCGCCCCCCCCCCAATTCTGTTTCACAGGTGAGAGGAGATACTGTGGTTTCTAGGAAAACTCTTAGTATGTTCCTTATTGAAATGCTCAGTATATGGGATCATCTGTCATTGTTCGTTTTGGCCGCTTAATTTCACGGCTCTGAGATGCTATTTTTATACCCAGCTGTCAGCCTGGCTGGTATGTCCAATCCTGTCACACAGCCCAGAGGGCCAGGGACTGGTGCCACCTCACCCACCCTGGGTTGGACAGGACCGGGGCAGCTGTTGTTTGTCCAGGCCGGACCCAATGGCTTCTAGAGAACAAATAATCGACCCCACCTAAGCGTGGCCTGAGCTTAGTGCTTAGTCCAGTCCAGTCCTGAGGCCATGGAAGGCTTGAAAAACGTTGAAGGGAGGTTGGCTCACATTTCTTTCTCATGAGTTCCCTTATAACAGGTAGCCCAGTGACAGGGGTCACAACCAAAGGCAGCCTGTAGGTGCTCTGTCACACCTCTCATAAAAAGGTTTATCCTGAATTTGATTTTCGCCAATATACCCGGCTGTATAAATTGACCGTTGGTGAAATATTTACCTAAATCCTCCCCGATGACCAGCTGACCCGTGTTGGTCACACTGTGTACAAGAGTCCTGTGGTCATTCATTAATCTGGTCGTTATCCTTTTCATTAGGTTCAACAGGTTATGTACTGTAGGCAAGTACATCCACATACAGGGTGTTTTCTAACTTTTTTATTTACACATATGATATTCTTTCATTATATCTCTCAAAATATTAGCTCTGCCATTTCTGAAATTATGATCAGCCTAAACTGTTACCATCCGATTTTACAAATCCTATAGCGTTTCTGTTGCTTTTTAAGCGTTTTGTTATTTCCATAATTGCGCCCCGGCGGCTAAAGCAAACGAAGGAAGTTCATTGTGGGGTTTTTTCCCCCTTGATCGAAACCGGCGGCGCGGACAGCGGATTGCGTGAGGATGCGGCGGGCGATCTGGGGCGTGCCTCGGGCAGGACCGTCCTTCTCCAGGCGTACCATGTGAAGCCTGGGAGGAGAAACCCTTAGAAAGCTGCCGCGTCTCCCTTCTCCTGCCTGGATATATTTGTAACGTTTTTACGCAACAAGAGGAAAGTTTCAAAGAGGAACCGTGCCGAGGCACCGAGCTACAAAGGGGAGGGGGGGCAATATCAGGCAGACAGGGAGGTGAAGCGTCGATCAGCAAAGCGGCTCTGATCCAAGTTCAGCCGAGTGCAGCCCGGTCCCACAGGCGAAGCAGTCCCCAGCTGCTCCGATGCCACCCCCGGCTGCCACCATGATCGAGGTGTGCATCCCGGCGCTGGAGAGGAAAGCGGACGAGTCGGGAAAGTTACAGAAGGTGAGCTGAGCCGCCGGCGGTCGGTCCATGTGCGCTTCTGGCTTCGGACTTCTGGCAGATAAGGGGACGGTGCAGCTCCGGAAAACTCGGCAAAAGTGCGATCGCCGGCATAAGCGTGGTGACGGAGACGCCGGGACCTTCTTCTTACCTAAAGGTCGCCGGTTTTAACCAGGTGACCTGTCTTTGTCATTCATTTATGCTAGTTTACATGGCGCCTTCCTATTCTGTTTCTTTATATGTTAGTGATACCGTTCGGTTATAGGTGAATGTGCATGAAGAAAGTTTCACTTAATAATTCTGTACATATTCCGGATATGATTTTGTGTTAAATGTAAATTATCGTGATTTTTAAAGAGTTCATTACTGCGTTCGACAAAGAAAGACCGATTCGTTTGTTTATTGTGGGTAGTTATTGTAAATATGCTGGAAATATTGGAAATATTATTTGAATTGGCACATGTAAACCAAGAATGGTCACGGATTGCGGAGCTGGTGAAGATTGGGTTAGAACGTACGCATCCCGTCCGGTCTGGTCGTTCATTATCCCTTTTCGAACCCCGATGCATGACACCTGAAGGAAAGAAACTAACAAAAGGGGGGTAGCATGAAGGAATAGGGTAAATGGTCCTGTGTGTTTCATTTGAGAAGTCAGGTCGTTTTTTAAGCATCCAAAATGGAGGGAAACTTAAGTTACCATTACTGAACAGCTTCACAGATGCTCAGTGACTTATGCCACCAATTTTCAAAGCAATACCCCCCCCCCCCACCAGATCTCCAGAGGGCCCACTTCCAAGCACCTGCACTTTCATTCTACTCCTCCCCCATTCATCGCACCCTCCTCCCCGTCCCCTTCATAATTTCTCTCCATCCAAAAACTCTTCTCCACACTCACCGGGAGGGAGTCTGCTATAGGTGCCAATTGTTGCTGACTAGCAGGAGGGCTCATGCCATTGTTGAGGAGGGGGCCACAGTGTCCCTCACTTTCTGTAACTAAGCCTCCCCCGGGTCCCCCCCCCCCCATCTCCAGGCCTGTAGCTGAAAGTGGACCACACTTGTTTTGATTTTGGAATCTTGGACAGTCCTTCTAAAGCATGCAGTTGTCAGCGTGTGTGTGTGTGTGCGCGTGTGTGTGTGTGCGCGCGTGTGTGTGTGTGTGTGTGCGAGTGTGTGTGTGTGTGCATCTGCTTCAGCATGTGTGCATCTCATGCAGATATCAATCCCCACACTGGGTAGGACCCCCTCGGACAGCTGGGGCAGGAATGTGGTGCTGGTGTCTCGTGCTCCGTAGTTTTGCACAGACAGACACTTTGCTTTGGATGGCCTCGTTTCCTCTTTTGTTTCTGGTCTTTTTGTGTTCAGTTTTGTTTTGCTTCCTCACAGACAAAATGCAGTTCCTCCAGCTTAAATCATGCAGGAGGTTCACTGGGTAATTATAGTAAGCTCACTGACACTCTGGCATCTCTGACCCCGGAACAGTAACTCCGCTGCATCTCAAAGTGCACAGTGATGTTTTTGTGTGCACAGGGTCAGAGATTACTGCTTGTGTCCTGCGGAGGCTTGAAGCACATTTTTTTAATGTAGTGTATTTCTGTCCATAGGAAATGCACCTTTACCTTTAATTCTCCCAGGCATACAGTTCTGATCAGTCAGCATCTTCTAAAGGGAGAGGTTTGGCACGCTGATGCATTGACTGTCTGACTAGGCTGAGGGTGCCCAAGGCATGTCCTTTTTCAACGGGGACTGAGATGCCAGAGATGCACTTTGCATGTGTGCACTGCACAGGACCAGGGCTTGCTGCATGTGTGCACTGCACGGGACCAGGGCTTGCTGCATGTGTGCACTGCACAGGACCAGCACTTGCTGCATGTGTGCACTGCATGCTAAATGAAACCAGCATTAGATTGCTGTCAATTGGAGTCTGGGTGTTATTTACTGTAATAGTAGTGGATGTTAAATGGAGCCTTGTGTGTTTGCTGTTGGGGGGGCTTATTTACTTCCCATGGAGACTGGGAAGGGGGGGTGGTCAGAGTTTCAGAATGAAGAGTGTGCTTCTTTTCTCACACAGTGGTGTGTGTGTGTGTGTGTGTGTGTGCGTCTGCGTCTGCGTGTGCATGTGGGTGGGTGGAGTGGGGCGGTAGTGTATTCATGAATGCCCCCCTGACTCCCGACTTTGGCCCATGCCCCCCCCCGGCCCAGAACAAAGAGGCGATGGTCTCAAACATGACTCTGCTCCAAGTGCTGTGTCTTGAATAGGGATCACTGATGCCTCTAACAGGGCTTGGACCCAACCACAGACCGGGGGGGGGGGGAGGGGGGAGGAGGCCTGAACACTGAGTCCACCTATTGGCTCCTAGATGCATTGATCACATGCCCTTCGTTGCATGGTGTCATCTGAAAGAGCTTAATGGAAAGCAGATGATGCTCTGCCTGTAAACAGACATGGCATCCTGCCAACGTATGTCTTCATTTCAGGTGTCAGCGTTTGAAATATTTCTCTCCGGTTCCTGGATTCAGAGGATTTCGATTGGATTCACAAGGAGAGATTTGTCTTCCCTCGCACCATTCAGAGAACAGTGAATTGAATTCCAGTTAATTTAACCTTTTAACAGACATCCTTTATGCAAAGTGACTCGAGTGAACTGGAAGCTTAGTGCTCAGTCCATCCAAGGTGGCAGAAGTACTAGCTGTTGGCTGGAGTTGTTTTCCTTTCAAAATTCCCAAAGAAATGCCTCCTTCAGCTAGCAGGAAAAGCTAACCAGCTGACGCCGGACTTATGGAGGAACCCATGAGGGGACGCATTACACTGACATTTCATTCACACACAGACAGGAGATTTATAAATAGGAAACGGCCTGCATGGGTTGTTTTCAGCTTCTTTGCGAATTTCCTGAGCACAGTCCGCTCTGTCCCCGGGAGGATCTGGACCCCTCTGCCCCCCACCTCCAGTTAATGAAATGTCATGCCCTTGTTCTGTTACGAATCTGGTAAACGATCAGGAAAACGGATTCGTGTTGTCGGGGTCATGCGGAACTGTTTTTCTGCGCTTGGAAATAACAAGGTCTATTTGTGTGTGTGTGTTTGAAAGGAGAATTCTGCTGCAAATGCGAATACGTGTGTATAATTCACATTTAACTTCTTCCCAGATAGATCAGTGAATCAGATATCAAAACCCCTGTCTTTGTTTAACCTTTTCAGATTCCTGTTTTTTGTGCAGGTATAGCGCATTCAGGTTTCAGTTTCCAAAAAATTCCAACCCATATTTTCAGGTTCCGTTGTAACTGTACATAAAAAGCAGTCTTTATTTAGCCTAACAGCTAACCAAGCCCTGCCTAGCAAAAATGAAATTGACAAATATTGCTCAAGCGCATTTTGATAAATGAAAATACACACTCATAAAGTGAACTAATTTTGGAAACCCCTAGTAAAGGCAGCCTGATGTTTGGGAATCCCACCTCTTATAGGCCTCTCTTATAGCACCCCTCACCGCCGCCCCCCACCCCCAGTGGCACCAGTCCTATGTGTTGTGGTCCTGTGGGTGGCAGAATCGAGAAAGCCAGCCACTTCCTCAGGTCAGGGGGGTTGACGACATACCAGAGAGATGTGAGTGGTTTCGCAATGATGGGCACAAAGAGGCTCAGTCTGGACACAGGAGAGTCTACTGGGAAGCGAGTCTCTCAGGGTGTGGACGGGGGGGGGGTTGGTGAGGTGCCCTGGTACACAGAAGCTGCAAAGAAGCTGCTGAATACCGGAACTGAGAAGATAAGACCAGCACCATTGTTTGCCTGCTTTAGGGTAGGGTTGGCTGATCTGCATTCGTTCATTACCTGAGGACCACTTCATCTTAACACGGTTGCTACCGGCTTGCAGACTGTCCTACAGGGGCCACACACTCAGTCATGCTCCGACCCGCCAATGCAAACATCTCACCAGTGTGAACACTGGGAGAGGGAGAGAATGAGCCCATGATCCTGGAGGTGTGAAGTAACAATTCTGTTTAACATTATAATCGGTAGCTCTAATAATCAAAGATGAGGCCAAATAATCTGGGTACAACATACTGAGGGAGTAAATGGTAATAATATATGTTTTTTACATTTGCATCACCAATGTCCATGACCCAAAGCTGAGCTTTGATAGCTGACAGATGAGAGGGTTAGAAATATTATGGCTGCACCCCTGCCACCCCAGATCTCCTGTGAAGGTTAAAGCCTTGACGCAGGACTGCAGGTGGCAGGACTCGCCTCAGGGTCCAACCCAAAGGCCACACCCACCTTTTCTCCACTATCAGTGTGAAGCTTGATCCCAAAGCGCAATTGTAATAGGTCATTGTGGCTTCAATAGCTCAGCAGGGTGTATTCGTCTTGTTCAAACAGGATGGGGCGGGGTTTACTGAAAGCTATTTGGACTCCCCAATATTATCTTTGCCGCGGTCATTCAGCTGTGCTCTAATCTTATGTCAGATAACCACAAAAAACGACTCACGCCCGGTTTGGAGAGAGTGGCCAAATCGCTTCACCTCTGTACTCGTCTTTGTGGCCTTTGGCCGGTACATCGGCGTTCATTCCGTATCGCGGTCAGCTTGCTTCTGCCACATCTGAATAAACCGTGTCTTGTCATGGTGCACTGCCTTAAGTGCTGACGTGTGGTTCTGGTGGAACCTTGTGGGGCCCTAGAGCACGTGTTCGTTTTCCGCGACGGGTTCGCATCACGCCATTTGACAAAGGCCCAGTCTTGTTTCCCTCACCCCCTTGTGTACATTGGATGTGCCAGCTCTCCAACGCTTGACTGGTCTCCACATCTGACCGGTCACCAAATCCCACACTCTTGGTCCTGTGTCATCCCAGCTCATGCTGCTCGTCAGGGAGCTTATCTCAGCTTTTGCGTTTCGTGTCTTATGGCCTCTTCCAAACGTCTGCACCCTCTCAGCCTTCGGTACCAACTGCTTCACACACCCTCAGCCATTTAAACAGGGATCCCTGTGTAGTACTGAGCACGACACACTTTTGTCTGCGGAACCACATCAAGCGCTGTGCGTTCTGTGCATTCAGGAATTGCCTTTCCGCGCATTCCTTTGCATTCCTCCTTTATGTTTGTTTTAACAAGTCTAGCCATTCTCCTCAAACCTCTGGCATTAATAAGGTGTTTTTGGCCACAGACCTGCGCTGACTGGATCTGTTATGTTCATCACACTGATCTCTGTAAACTCTAGACACTGTAGTGGTTGTTTCTGATGTTCTAGATCCATCCTGTCTGACACCAACAATCACATCACATTTACAATCACCTAGTTCACGTCAATAAACAATTCTAATGCTGAACCTCTTCACCCTGTCTGTGTGCTGTATGTATTCAGCTGCAATCACATGATTTGCTGATTGGAGAAGCAGGTTATATACATTAATAACCAGAATAACATCTTATCATTGTATGATTTTCATGATGAGCAATGTACATGTTTATAAATAATTAGATTTTAACTGGATGTATTAGTTTTAATCACAAATGGTATGTACTTGAATATCTACTGTTTGCAGTCTTTGTGAATTTGTTAAAATTCAAAAGATTTGATTCCATGTAATTGGTTTTCTGCTCGCATATTGGAGGAAAAATTAAACAAAGAGAATAGGTTTGGTTTAAACACTTATAGGGAGAAATCAGCCCCTAAATCCCCCATCCCCCTAAACACAGACGGTACCCCCACTTTATTGGTAGGGACATGTTCCTATTGCTATACCCAAATGTACGCCCTTGGATTAAACTCAAAGTTGAATCTTAATCTGACTGGAGAGCTTGGTAGTAAGTCAGCGGCAGCTGCTGGTTACGCAGTCTGACCACCAGAGGTCATTCTGATAGCACAGACATACAGACCCCTCAGTTACTCTAGATCTGCTGCTTATGTGATTCGACCGAACACCCGCAGGTGGCAGCAGAGACCTATTTGAAAGCAGATTAACCTAAGTGCAAATTCCTCGAACGTTTAAATATAATTATAACTTATTGAATTTTATTATGAAGTATTTTTCTAAGCGTGATATATAAATCTATTACATTTAAATATTTTTGAGAAAAGTGCATTTTAAATAAATGTGCTGTGTATTGTACCTAGATGAACACTAGATGGCGCTGAAAGCGCTTTTTTGTGTCTTAAGACGCTTTGGTTTGCTGTGCTTCAGGTTTCCCGGGATACTCAAACAAAGTTGACGCTCTCCTGCAGATCTGCGTTTGTCTCTTGTGATTAACCTACATACGTTACTCTTCTATAGTTTTTCAGAGTGGAGATACTGTTCAATGGAAGGAAACATTTTGTGCTTAAGCGTCACAGAGAATTCCTGAACCTCCACAAGAAGGTGAGATGGCTTCAACTACTGCAGCACGACTTTACACTATTTCTTATATATTAATTTTATCCTGATACCTACTTTTAAACTGTTTATACAGGTAAAATGTTAGCTGCATTTTTGGATGAGAGACAATGATTGCATAGTTTATATATCGCTATAGATACCCAATGTACACAATATCACTATAGATACCCAATATACACAATATCGTTAAAGATACCTAATATATGTTATATGCAGATATTTATCATATAAATAGATGCTGGTCTCTTTAATAAATTAATGTCTGAGGCACTGCATGTCTGTATGTTCGCGTTTATAGTTCTGTTGTCTGTCGTACTGCTGTGAAAACCACTTAGCCTCTTTATAGGGACCTTCAACACAGGCTTCCTCTTCCCCTTTCAGCTGAAGAAGATCCTCCAGACCCCAGAGTTTCCCAACAAACGCAGCCCTCACTTCCGCCAGAAGCCCCTGGAGCAGAGGAGGCAGGAGCTTGAGGACTATGTGAAGGTGTGACCTTGGAATGAAGCAACTATCTTCTCGGGAAACTCGACGGCATCGCAGATGCTGAAGTCGTCCCTCAGAAAACCATTTGAAACTTTGTACTGTGTTCAACCGAGGCCTTTGACTCGGGAGCTAAAAAATAATTCTGAAATTTACAAGCTTTGACTTGGTTTGCCTGCTTTTCAGATGGTTCTCTCTGACAATGAAGAAGTTCCCCAGGAGATGCTGGACTTTCTGCAGCTCAAACATTTCCATTCTGTGAACAAGATGTCTAGTTCTGAGTATGTGTCTACACAGTTTAACCTCAAACATGCATCAGGTCTTATTTAAATTTTTTAATTATTCTACTTTATACCAGGCACATAGTTTATCTAATTAACATCTTTATCACTCATCGTCATAACCCCTCATCAACTAATTACAATACTTAATGCTCAGGTTATGAGATCTGTGATGGTTGTACTTTACTTAGTGGCCATTAACTGCTGTAGGATGAGGAACTGATGTAATTAATTATTGTTATTCTATATTTTAGGTGTCTGGATGCCTCCCACCCTGAATCTTATAAGTAAGTCTATATCCTTCTCTAATTCTTCTCTAATTTAATCTTTGTACCTGTGAGATTTTGACTGTCATACGGTCATTGTATGAAACCTTGACATTTATGTCAATGGATGGGCTCAAAATTACAAACTTATGAATGGGGTGACGTGAGATTTTCTTAGTTATTAGTCACTGAAACGCATCACGTAGGGTCACACACAGACGTCTGACTTAGAGGCTGATGGGATTGATTCTGAGACAGACTGAGGCATCATGGGAATCTTGTGTCATGTCTGCCCTTGGTGTGCTATATTGTAATAGTGTTTGACATTGTGATGTTTTGCCCTTTCGTTTTTTTTTTACTCCCCAAAGATACTACCTTATGGACATTCTCCCTCCCTCCCTCTCTCTCTCTCTCTCTCTCTCTCTCAGCTGTCAGCTGTTGCATCAACGTGTCCTGGGCTTCTTCAAGGACCCCTATGTGCTGGAATCCACGTCAGGTAGGCTTCCTGCGAGTTTACCCTGGCTGGCTTTGTATCCCTTCACTCTACAGATTTAGTACACAGCTTTGCGTTTCTCTACATTTACCGGAAATTCTTCTGCACGAAACTAATCAAAATTGTAATGTAATTCCCAAATGCAGAGTTCTGTGTCACATTGAGTATAAGTGAATGGGTGTGACTGACAATCAATAGAATTAGAATTTAGTGATCGATGTTGACACACCACAGCGCACAACAACAAAATGTGTCCTCTGCATTTAACTCATATGTGACAATGTGATATAGCAGGGGGCAGCCAATTCAGCGCCCGGGGAGCAGTGCTTGGGGGTGGTACCTTGCTCAGGGTACCTCAGTTGTGCATTATTGGTTGGGGATTCGAACCTGCAATCTTTCAATTATAAGTGCGCTTCCCTAACCATCAAGCCACCAATGCCCACGGCAGTAGAGGTGCACCGCTCCCAGAAGCACTGCAATATCAGGTCGACGCATGGAGCAGATGGAGCAAGAAACACTCAGTATGAGCTTTTTGGGAATGACGGAGAATTGTGGTTTTCAGATCTTCCCGATGTCGTCGTGGATGGTGTCCTGCAGGGACTGTATCCCAGGGACGTCCGCGTGAGCTTCATGCCTCCCCCCGAACCACATCGCACAAAGCCATGGAGCCCCAGCAAAGGCGGCCCGGCCACACAGCCCGAGGTCCGCAGGACTTGAAGTGGGTCACGGATCCATCCGGAATGCAGCACGTGGTCCTGCAGAGCTCATGGCCACCTTGGACTCGCACTGAGGATGCCACCTGCGGCGTGTTTGCATAGCTACATGGAGCTGACCCAGAAAAGTCACACGGTTTTATGTGTGATGTGTACTAGGTGTGATGTTTTACTAGGAGGTGTGATGTTTTACAAGGTTAAGATCAGTTTCCAGAAGCTGAGTATTACCTGCGTGCAGGTTTTTGATTGCTTTGGTGTTTGCAGATGCATGTGTGTAGCTGCAGAATCTGCATTTTACATCACTCGAACCCCCTGGGCTTTTAACCGGATTCAGTTACAAGGAACATTAGGTTGCATTGAATTTTTCACTTAGTCATTTCAAGGAGACATCCATACTGACAGCTGTCATGGTAACCTCAGGGTGAAGTTCTGGTGTGATATTGAGCGGGTTCTATAGGGCCTACCTTACATTTTGGCTATTGTCATGGTACTGTCAAAGTTTGTGTGACCTGTAAGCAGTTTGTGACGATATTTCCTGGAATGAAATAGTATAAACAAACCAATGCATAGAAATTTTAGTGCCCCATTTAAATATTGGCCCTTTTTTTTTTTTTTCACTTTCATAAATCTTATGTAAATACCAATATTCCTTAAACCTCCAGGGGACACTGCAGGAAAAAGTAATGAAAATGCACATTAAAAATCTTTCCTGTACTGGTTCCAGATATCTGATCAACAATAAGACTATGGCAACAAGTTTCCTCATTTGAGACCCGTTTTACTTTTCCATCATGAATGATGTGTAGATTTTCCAGTTTGTTTAAAGACAGGCATGCACAGATCTTTAAAAATGTAATCCTTTTATTGAAGGTACATCTTTACAAAAAGCAGGCAGGTGACTGCTGGACATCCATCTGGAATGTCTTTCGTTAAGTGAGGCAAGGTGTTACCTGAGGGTCAGGAAGATCAGTGATGCTATGAAAGAGCAACAGGCACCACTTCTGGTCAGAGAACCTCAGGATGAACCTCACAGGACCAGCCCACTGGGAAACACCTGCATGTAGCCGACCGCGTCCTCCAAACCGCTGACCTGGTACAACCCCCATATATCCCACCCCCCAAGAGAAACCCCTTAATTTACTCCTTAGCAATCGCGAACGGCTTCTCTACATCAATTTTGCCACAGTCGTGGATGGTGACATCTTTTAGGGGCTTATCTCTGCCGTCCGTCTTTGTGCCTTCGATTTTCCTCACGACATCCTGTGGGCAGAACACACAGATTTGTCACGTGGGGCTGTGCAAGCCAAGCGGTCTGAGAGTCACCTGCCCCCCCCCAGTGAGCAGACCCTCACCATGCCCTCCAGGATTTTGCCAAAGACGACGTGCTTCCCGTCCAGCCAAGGCGTCTGGACGGTGGTGATGAAGAACTGGGAGCCGTTGGTGTCCTTGCCTGCGTTGGCCATGCTCAGCCAGCCTGGACCATAGTGCTTCAGCTTGAAGTTCTCATCAGGGAAGCGGTCCCCATAGATGCTCTTTCCTTTAGAAACAGATCAGATCGAATCCCAAAGAACAGCTTAATCTAGGTCCAGAAAACATTTCTAATGATCATTTTTGGTGACAGTGCTGTAAATATGACTATATTGCTTTAAAAGGTAGGTATGACGACACAAAAGGAGCAAATAAAGTACCAGATGTGATTCTCAACCAGCTGCCAGAAGATCGTAGAAAGAGGAGCCATTTAAACATACCTCCAGTGCCATCGCCACGGGTGAAGTCTCCTCCCTGGATCATGAAATCCTTTATAACACGGTGGAATTTGCTGTCTTTGTAGCCGAATCCTTTCTATTTCAGCGGGGAAAATTGAAAAAAAAAATTTGAAAAAAATACACAGTTTGTTATGCAATGACGCAGACGGCCATGTCCAAACAGCCGAATAACCCTCCTTCGGGGTAGAGTGTCTTACCTCTCCGGTGGCCAGTGCAACAAAATTATCCACAGTCTTCGGGACAGTTTTGCCGAATACTCCGATTACAATCCGGCCTACATCCTCATCCCCGATGCGCATATCAAAGTACACCTGGAATGACCAATAAAAGAAGAATTAAAAGCTGCGGAGTTAAGAGGCCAGCTTCCATAGCCGATAACACGCAGCAGGTCCAGCGCTGGGGCGGGTTTATTCCCATAACTGTCAATTAGATGGCCCCAAAAACGATAAAGGCCTTATAGTTTAAACTATAACCCATCGGGAACTGTACGCCATTCTGCAAAAAAAAAATACAGGGAGAAAGACGGAGGCCATCGGAATCCGATCCCCTTACAAACACTGCCCAAGAATCCTTTATATATCACGGAGGTGGAAAAGGTGCACGACAACGACGACGAGTTCGTCCGGACAAAGGCCTCTGCGGCCAAGAAAAGCGCACATTAGGGGGGGGATCAAAATGATTAAACGGCCGCATTAACACCAACTTTAAGTCATCGGAAATGTTACGTTTATTCGACGTAGGAAAGGACAGATATTGCATATATATATATATATATATATAGGGGCCATGGTAGGAAGTAATCAAGCAATAATGCAACGGCAAGCAATCATCACTTATTCCGTAGAAAAAGGTCCCTTTTATTGCTGGGTTATTTCGATAGGGTTAATATAGCGGCACATCTGCACACTGGGCCTCGCAGTCTTACCTTGGCCGTGACTTTGGGTCCCTTCTTTTTCTCATCAGCATGCGAACCGCTGACGGAAAGCAACAGAACCAGGGAGCCCACAATGACCGTGACGGCGAAAAGAAACTTCATCTTTCTTTCGGTGCCACGGAACATTCAGCGGAATGAAGTGCAGGCGTGGCGTGCAGACGCAGCTTTAACTACAGGAGTTCGGGGAAAAAAAAGCAGTGAATATCCGGGGAGGAGACAGCAGCCTGCCACAGGGCGCTATGACAGGCGTACGGGGGGCTGGATTCGCAGCACCGAACCACCGCATGAGCCATGTGACCCAGCGGACGCCGTGCGTGATCTCCTCCAACAAACCAGCACGTTTGCGTGTAGGAGCCCGTTTACGGCTATTCTTGTGTGAATACTTACTGCCTAAAGACAATCTCCATCTGTGAAAACATTCTCACTGGGTAATTCCCCACTTTTATCATGCTACAAAGCAGATGTTTGCAAGAGCAACATTAGCGTAATTGCATTAATTTTATTTTACTTACATTTAATTCCAGGCAAAAAGAGGAAACATTATTTAACGTAATACGCGCACTGGTACCTGATTGGTCCTTGCGCGTCACATCCACGCGATGTGCGTGTCGGGAGACCAATGGCGGCCGTAAATTAGGTGACACATTCCAAAATCTGATTGGATAACACAGAATCCAATGGGGTTTCGGAATGTGTCAAGCTTTCGTCGATTGCAATCGCATTCTGTTTAGTTTTTTTGCTAAAACATGCAAGTTTATTATAAACCGGCACGGATACGCGTATTACTACATATGCTGTTGTCCTTTACTTAGTGTGGAGTCGGCAAATGATCTCTTGCGATGCTCATGTATTACAAACTGTGCTGTTTTAATCACACGTCACAACACAACTTTAAATCGATCGTAACACTTAAAAAAATCATTAACGTTTCAGATCTGCTCTCCAGAACACCGGCCTTTTGTGGATAAGATTGCCCATCCCTGCTATAGGTGGGCAAAATAATAGGTTATGTGTGCATCAGATACGTGCATCAACATGTAAGATAAGCAAGATGCAGTGCCGCCCACATCAAATTCAGCTTATGCATGTCATCCACCACTCACAGGCCTGCAGACTTCATCTGTGAGTGGCTCTTTGGCATCAACTAGTCTGTTCTTTTACCAGTCAAAGAAAAGTAGTCGTTATCCCAAAATCCAAGGAGTTCCAGGCTATGAGGGAGAATTCTGTCCTATAACTGCCTCAATTCTGATTGATTCGTTTCAGAAAATACTGTGCCACGTCAAATATCTCATATTTTGACATGTACCTAGGGCAACCAATCACTTAACAGCCAGGTAAAGCTAATGATTTTTTTCTGAAGAACTCATGGATATTTTAGATAATATACATACAGTCGTCTGCAAGTCCTTCATGGTGTAAAACTATGTTATTATGTCTGTCAAAGTGTGTCAGCTAGGTTAGCCATTTCAGAACCGCACCTAAAGTCACCCCAGTATTTGCAGTAACCATCCAATACACCCATGTATGTTTTGACTCAACAAATACCACACCTTGTAATGCTAATCAATATCTAACTGACTTAAAAAAAAACAAAAAAACAATTTAATTAATGGCTAAGGTGCCCCTGAGGAGAGGTTTGGGAACTGAAGCGGTGTTCATCTAGCCATCCAGCAAGATATCAGTGACTTTCTGGAGAACAGAAGAAATTCGTGTTAATTTTTATTGGTTACACTTAATTTGCATATGTGCACAGGTATATGGTACATACCCACCTCTCAAAAATGGATTTACCGTACACCCACTAAAAATTGTCAAAGATGCGCTTATCAGTCAGAGGAGAGGTGCATAAACGCAATTACACGGTAAGACAGTATGCTAACCTACTAAGACACCATTAAACCACTGTTCGACCGTTAAATTCTGTTTTTTTCAGCAGGGATATCATTTTATAGTTTTGATGTCTTTATAATTATCGTAAGTTTTAGAGAATAATACAAATAAACCTAGGGTGACCAGATAATCCATGTCAGGGAGGACACTTTGAGCTACTTCAGGTTTTACAAACTACTTTCAAATTGAAAGGCTCCTGTGCTCGGCTAATTAGTTCAGCTCTTCTTGTGCTTTGACTGGTTTATTTCCTTGACTGAAAGACTCATCCA